TGGTGGTAGTAGTAGTAGTAGTAGTCGTCGTCGTCGTAGTAGTAGAAGTAGTAGTAGTAGTAGAGTAGTAGTAGTAGTCGTAGTAGTAGTCGTAGTAGTAGTAGTAGTAGTAGTAATAGTAGTAGTAGTCGTAATAGTCGTAGTAGTCGTAGGAGTAGTAGCCGTGATAGTGGGAGTCGCAGTAACGCAGTCGAAGTAGCAGTCGTAGTAGTAGTTGTAGTAGTAATAGTAGTAGTAGTAGTAGTAGTAGTAGTAGTAGTAATAGTAGTAGTAGTAGTAGTAGGATTCGGAAGAGCATCAGCAGTAACAGTAGTAGGAGGAGGAGTCGGAGGAATAGTGGTAATATACATAGTAGTAGTAGTCGTCGTCGCCGTAGCAGTAGTCGTAGTAATAGCAGTAGCAGTAGTAGTAAGAGTTATAGTGGGAGGGGCAGGAGGAGTGGTAGTAGTAGTAGTAGTAGTCGTCGTCGTCGTCGTAGTAGTAGTAGTAGTAGTAGTAGTAGTAGTAGTAGTAGTAGTAGTAGTAGTAGTAGTAGTAGTAGTAGTAGTAGTAGTAGTAGTAGTAGTAGTAGTAGTAGTAGTAGTAGTAGTAGTAGTAGTAGTAGTAGTAGTAGTAGTAGTAGTAGTAGTAGTAGTAGTAGTAGTAGTAGTAGTAGTAGTAGTAGTAGTAGTAGTAGTAGTAGTAGTAGTAGTAGTAGTAGTAGTAGTAGTAGTAGTAGTAGTAGTAGTAGTAGTAGTAGTAGTAGTAGTAGTAGTAGTAGTAGTAGTAGTAGTAGTAGTAGTAGTAGTAGTAGTAGTAGTAGTAGTAGTAGTAGTAGTAGTAGTAGTAGTAGTAGTAGTAGTACTTCCCATTGTAGCCAGACTGGCCGTAGTAGTAGTAGTAGTAGTAGTAGTAGTAGTAGTCGTCGTCGTCGTCGTCGTCGTCGTCGTCGTCGTCGTCGTCGTCGTCGTCGTCGTCGTCGTCGTCATTTTTCTTGGCATCCACGTCGCACCTCCACATCCTCGGGTAAGTCCGAGGGCCAGAGCCAGCAGCGGAGGGGGATGCTGGCTCCCTGACACAGACCAATAGTCTGAGTCATCAGCGCAAGTGAAACCAGCTCGAGAGACCAAAGGGGTCTCTGCGTCCTGACGCACCAGCACAAGGCGCACCTGCCGCAACATCTCTAAGAGAGGGGCCGGCACACAAGGCAACAACACGGACGCCGAGCTGCAAGCGCAAAGACAAAGCCAAATGCAGGGGTCCTGCAAATGGAAAAGACATCTCGGACCGACTGCCCTCGGCTGTGCAAGAGGAACAACGGTCAAGACAGCGCCCCGCCACGAGTGCCGAGACAGCCCCCAGCGGCGGAGAGCCAAGAAAGCGAGGCGAGCGAACGCACATACGCACGGGGACGCCCACACAACGCAAACGGAGGAGAGCTGTTGGGGCCAAGAGCCCCATGCTCCTGGCAGCGGCAACACCAAAACCCGAGCCACAGTCGGGATGGGGCAACCCCCGTGCTCGGAGAAAGAAAGAAGCGCACCCTAGATGTGCTCGCACCTTCCCCCTGAAGCGGGGTGCCTGACACACGTGCACGACAGACGCACGCACTACGAGACAGCGCACACAAGAGAAACACCAAGGAAGAAATCGACCACCCACGCAAGGGCGACGAGCCCGCAGCCCCTGGTGCAGCCAGCGCCAGGCCGACCGTCGGCCTCGCCCCAGGCGCGGGGTAAAACACGGATGCCTGCCGAAAGGGTCAGACGCATCGGGCCGTGCTGTCATAAACGAAAAGAAAAGGCGCACCCACGCCAGAGGAAAACACGACCACCCACACAAGGACGACGAGGCCAGCAGTCCCTGGTGCAACCAGCGCCAGGACGACTGCCAACCTCGCCCCAGATGTGGGGTATAGCACGGATGCATGCCACAAGGGTCAGACGCATCGGGCCGTGCTACAAAGAAGAAATAGGAAAGGGCGTCCCTGCGCCAAAGAAACATTAATCCGAACTGTCCGACTCATCCTGTCGACGCCTCGCCAGGAAAGAAGGCTTGTCCCGTCGCAGCCCTTGATTGGGTCCCAGCCTCAACTCCGGCAGAGGGGCCTCGTCCTCAGGCACAGTACGAGCAGCACCAGAAACGCTAGCTGCTCGCCCGAAAAGGAAGCTAGACGCTTCCTCCTCAGCAACAAAGAGAGTATCCCAATTTCCCGCACCGCCCCGCCCAGACTCCACCCCCCGCTCCACACCAGAGGAGGAAGAGGGAGGAGATCTGGCCAAGAGGCCAGCTGACACAACCGTGTCACACTCTTTAGAACGTGTAAGTTCCCCCTCGCGAGCCCTCGAGGACTCACAAGCCACCAGTGGGCTGGGGGGGGGGGGGGGGGGTCCACAGCCCCAGAAGTGGGCTGCGCCAGGGGCTGTAAATCCACCTGCTCATCGAAGCCTGGCCTGTTGAAACATTCCACAAACGCATCAACGTCCACAGAAACACCGGGCTCACGACGAGTGTAGTGAGGGTGCTTGCCTTTACAAAGCTGAACCCAAGCAAGTCTGCCAGCTCGAGTCGCTCCGCCAAACCTCTGACTTTACCACCAGACGAGTAGCTCTTGCACCGCAAGCAAATAAAAAGGAACGACTGGTCGGAACACTCGGAGGCCAAAGTCGTGTGGCCAAGGCGATCCTGGTGGGCAGCGTGAAGCTTGCTGTCCAGAAGGCACCGACCTTTGGTGGGGGGGGGCCAGGGCCCGACATCCTTTGAGACCAACCGAGCATCTCCGAATGCCAGACCAGCGAGCCCAACGATGGCCCGCAACGGCACTGGATAAAGAAGGAGGTGGCTGGATCCGTTCGACAGAAGACAAATCAACCGAGGGCCGCAAATGATGTACCGCACTGGCAACTTTAAGAGTAGCCTTCGCAAACTTGACCTGACGATCAGCATCCTGAAGCAAGCCATCATCTGAAGGGTGAAGGAGGAGGGCCATTATTGCCCCATACATCAGCGAAATTGTTGCCAACGCGACGCCACCTCTCAGTAGTGTCTATGGATGGGTCTTCAATGTCCTGGTGGGCAGCGACTTTAGAGCAACCCGCGACCGAAGAACACTGCCCATGGCACTGCAACAAGGCGCCAGCATACATCTTTTTGCCTGACAATTGCTCAGGCTTCGGACGACCAGCAAGCCGAACAACATTAAGGCAATCGGAATAAACATGGCAATCAGATGGGCTCGTAGCCAAAACGTTAGCCCACGTGAACGCACTGAACTCAGCGCTCTGGGGGGTCTGAGGGTAGGGGCCCCAGACAGGAGCTCTAAACTCAGCCACAAGAGTCCCATCGGAGTCAACCATGCAGACAGAGCTAGGAGCACGCGTGAGCTCACGAACGGCATGACGAGCACAGGACCCGTCCACAAACAAAGCGCCCCAGACACGGTTGGTAATGGACCCACCATCTGGGGTAAAGTCGGGAGGGGCATGCCACGCGAGGAACAGAGCACCGTCAGACTCCACAGCAGGCCTGGGGTAACCGTCGGCGGGACGCCGAAAGGCTCCAGAGAGAAAGACGAAGTAGTCTTCGAGGTCCCCAGAAGCCTTAGCGGCAAGTGCAGCATCAATGATCTCCTGCTTCACAGCCTCCAAACGGGCCTCCGGAACCTCAGTATGCTGGCACTCCCACAGACGGTGGAAAACGGTGCCACGGGCACCACAGAAGGCACAGTCGGGAGAGATGCAGTATCCTAACTCCTCCGCCTTAGCAGCCGTGAAAAAGGCCTCGGTGGCGAAAGCCCGAATCCTGGCCTTCTGCAGGGCCGTGTACTTGTTGGAGTTGGGCGACGCAGCCTGGCGAACCACGTCGTAACAAATCCTAGAAGGGATCCCTCGTTTGGCCGCAGAGTCACGCTCAAGCATGCGGAAATATCCCTCACGGACCAGGGGCCTGACCAGGGCGGGGGAAAACAAACCCAGGGGAATAAACCGACCAAAGTCATCAACCAGGGTCATGAAATCCCTCATCTTCCATCCAAGACGCACGAGGGACATGCGGAGGGCCGTGACAGGCCCAGACACAAGCAGCCAGGAACACCTATCCTGAGAAAACACCGATATCCAGGCCGCGTTAAAGGACGGAAGACTCAGGGACCAGGGATAGGACGCAGTTTGACGTATCCAGACCTCCTTGCTCCACCTGGTGATCGGGGCAGTCGCAGTGCGCCGAGTCGGATCTCCGTCCAACAGCGCACACGTCGTCAGAGACCTCAGCTGGCTGCGAGGACGCACATCAGAAAAACAAATCTCCATGCGGCGTAGCAAGCTAAGGTCGTGATCGCTTATGCCCGTGACCTCAGAGCCGCACGCAGCCCCAGCTAAGGGGCCAGCCGAATAAACTCTAAGGATGGCAGCTCTCGGAATCACCTTAGCTTGCTTGCCGAGGCGGCGCGCAGCACGGGCAGACTTTGCCAAGCGAGACTTCATCTTGGCAGACTTACCAGCAACGCGCAGAGCCCTGCCCGCAGAGTAGTCAAACCCGAGGTTGACCGCGGACGACGAGCAATTTTGACAAAGGTGGCTGAGCTGCTCGAGGACATGGGGCCCCACAGCCTTGGAACTGGCAACCAGGGCCGTCTTGTCGAGGGCGAGCGAACAACCGAATTCTTGTTGGACGACCTGGTCGAGAACTCTAGCTCCAGCGACAATGGACGTGACAACAAACCGAGACTTCCCCGTGGCCGAAAGCCCCTGGTCGTCAATATAAACGTCCAGCTCCGTGCCCATGGGCAGCGGAATCGAATCATACCCTTCAGCACAGTAAACACGAATGAGTGTAGTGGCCATAGAACCGCCCGCGATAACACCGTTGACGCAGAAATAAGGCCCGTCGAGCCACCCCCCAAGACTCAAGAATCTGCCGCAGCGGTAGGCATATATGCACAGTCTAGCGATAACCGGGGGAAAGCCAAGCCTGTCGCACCGATACTCCAGTTTGGCCAAACATATGTTCTCATAGAACTTCGAAAAGTCAAAAAAGATGCTGCAGCTGGCTTCCCCCCTGGCTAATCCGCTCTCGGCGGTGGCGGCCTGCCTCCAAACGACGTCAGCTGCTCCGCGAAACTGTCCAGCAGCCCAGTACCGACGGGGGTGTTCCAACTCCCAGTCCAAGGCCAAGGAGCGCCTGCAGCGCCCCGAAAGCCTGAACCAGGAGCAGAACACCCCTATCGGCCTATAGCCACCAGCTGGTTTCGGGAGCATGGCGAGCAACGCCGCAGACATCTGCGGCGGGAGGTAGCCCAGAGCCTCAATCGCGCTGGGGATGCTGCTGAAACAATCGAGAGCCTCATCGCACAAGAGAGAAAAATGTCGACAGTGAAACCCGTCGACTGAAACAGCCGAGGAGGTCTGGTAGGATTTCGACATGTCACGGATCGCCTGGGCAGTAAGTCTGGGAAGCGGAGCCAAGATTTTACCACGAAAAATAACTCCTTCGCCTTGGCCCCGCAAGGCCGAGAAACGGGATCCCTCCGCTTTCAAAAGGGACAGAGGGTCCGTGACAATGCAACCGTCGGCCGACAGAGTGCTGCTAGCAGTCCACGGAGTGGGATCGCGCAAGAGAATGCGAACACGCTTGGCACCCGACGAGAGACCGCTGGTGAGCCATGCCTTCCAGTCAGCACGACCTCTAGCAGGTGCTTGCCGTCGGCGGCCTGGGCGGCCTCGTGCACCTGAGTGTAGACGGCCGAATAGGAAGCGTGGTCGGCTGAGGCCCCCGCAGCGACAGCTGCCTGCTCGAAGAGGGGGGCGTAGTCCTCACGAGCCGCCAAGATCCCTGCAGGTGGCTGAAGCAGAAGGGACCTAGGCCGTCTCGACGTGTCCGACTCGGCATCAGCTCTAGAGGAAAGAATTAGGGCTCTGAGCTGCTGGCCAAGCCAGCGGATAGCACGATGACCAGGGAAGCGGACCTGGGTATCTTTAGCCAAAACGGATTTCCAAACCAGCTGAGGACCCAGCCCGCGAGCACCCAAAACCGCGGGCGACGACCCAACAAGAGGGACCAGCTCGCGTTCAGCCGTGTCGGCCCAGGATTGGTCCAACTTCCCCAAAAACCTGCGGGAACCCTCGGCATTTCCCTCATCAATAAGGGTGAGAGCATAGTCGGCCATAGCCATCACACCAGACCAGGCCTGGGGGAGAGGAGAAGGACCGATGACCCCCGCGCACGGAAGGGGCGGGGGCTTACGCAACGAAAGGGCTTTCAAGACCGCAAGCTTAGGGACAAACCTGATTCCCACCGGCCGATGGGGCGAAAATTCCCTTGGCCAAACCACAGGACACCACAAAGTAATCGGAGGTGGTGGGAGGGCCAGTCGGGTAATGAGTGCAGATGGCGGGTACAAGTAACCCACCACGAAGCTCTTGAACAAACTGCGAGCCCTGCGCCTCAGCAGGCTCCAGATTGAAATCAGCTCCGATCAGCCACGGGCAAGCCGATGAGGAGATGAACGAACCTATGCTAGCCAAGAGCTCCATGTTACGATCGGACATCCCATCAGAGTGGAATAAGTAGGCCGAGGCAACCATGAAGGGGGGGGGCGCCCCAGGCAGCTCGACCGAGCAGACAAGGCCCCGACCCCGAGACACAAGACCACCTGGAAGGTCCCGACACCCAAGCCAGCTGCGCACGAAAATAGCAACCCCCCCACTGGTATCTCCCGCCTCGGTGGCCGAAGCGGGCGCCCACGCTGATTTCCACCCGCGGCGGAGACACCAGGCGCTAGCCTGACCAATATCTTCGGCAGAAATCAGGCGGTGCTCTTGGCAGAGCACAATGTGAGCGTTACACCCCGAAAGAAGAGAACGCATGGTGCCCCAAGAATTAGCGCTGATGGTCTGAACCTGCAGGGCCACAGAGCGCGTCTGCCGAGAGCTCTCGCGCAATACATCAGAGCTGTCAGCATGCAAAGCACTGGGCGCCGAATCAGCACCAGCACTGCGTTCTGAGACCGTGAAACGAACTTGCCGAGCAAATGGTGGGGATGGGTCTTTACAAAACGAGGCCCTTGGCCCAGGCAACGGAAGCCTGACCAGGGCAGCGCAACCAGGAGCTTATTTGACCAGCGAGCTCACTGGATGCACAGCGGACGGCTTGGCAACATCAAAGGGAACGTGCCGTCGAAACGAGAAATCACACGAGCTGGCGGATCCTGGCGACCCAGGAACAGCATCAGCACGAGCGAAGAGCGAGGGCCATCTGCTCGACGAAATACACTGCTGCAGAGGGCGTGGCATCTGCGCGAAGAGGAATGGCATGCCTCGCTTTAACCAAAGGGCCTGCCTAGCCGCCGCAGCTGAGCAGGCTCCTTTGGTTGAAGATTGAAAAAGAATACATCGACCCCCCTACGCTGAGTTCGTCGACAGACCGAAGCGGCCAGGAGAGCCCGACCCAGGACCAGAGGACCCAAGGAAGGACGACCAGAAGCCACGAAAAGCAAGCCAAATCAGACGAGCGCGCAGGGGGGCCCTAACACACAGGCTTGCCACTGGCAATCTCGTCAGACCGTGCACGGGCTGCGGCGGCGTCATTTGCCTCACTGGAATCAGGAGCGGCTGCGGCGGCTGCCGTCCCAGCCCCAGGCGCCGCTGCGTCACCTCCATCAGCGGCAGGGGGATCAGCCTCGGCGCCGCCAGCCTGTTCATCTTCAGCAATGCGACGTTTCTTCTGAATACGCTCCGCGCGTGCAGCATGCTCCTTCTTGATCGCGTCCACCTTGGCCTTCGCCTGCGGGAACAGGTCCTTGGCCAGTGAGCTGACCCCAGTCTTGAGCTGCTGCGCCCGTGAGTCGAGTTCAGTCTGATCCTCCGGGGACAAGTCGTGACCATCCAGCTTGAATAGGTTACCGAACTCAATGTCGAAGAACGAGGAAAGCATCGATTCGCCAAAGAGGATGTCTGCTGGCATGCGCGGCACGGAGGCCTCCTGCGGCAAGGGGGAGTGGAGCTTCTGGACCAACTGCTTGTGCTGCTCCTCCGCCTCGGCGAGCTCCGCACGAAGCTGTACCACCACGTCGCGCTGGGCTGCCAGCTGCTGCTCCAGAGTATTGTACTTGCCCACCGCCTGCACCAGCTTGCGCTCGATGCCTTTGGCGCGCTGGTGGGCTTTGTTGAGCTGTACCTGCGTCGACTCGGTGGCAGACTTCGGCTCAGAGAGAACTTGGCTGCAACACGGTGGGCCATGGCGCCCCCCTTGTCACCGAGCTTCCCGCACAACATGGCAAGCTGATCGTACTCCTCGGCAGAGAGCGGCGGCTTGGATGAGTCGCCAGACCCACCAGCGCCACCTTGCCCCCCTCCTTTGCCCCCAGGCAATGCCCCTGGCGAGCCGAGAGCACCAGCTGGAGGTCGAGACGAAGGGGGGCCTGCAGACCACGGAGAGCTTGACTCAACCTTCGAGGCCGACTTGAGCGAGCCGCAGTGCTTGCAGAAATTGAATCTGGATCCGTTCTTACCGCATCCACAGAATGAGCATTTCCAGCGTTGCCCCTTGTTAGCTGGACCACGGCGAACGCCATCACCAGCAGGACGAAAGGCAACGTGTACTCCTGGCGTGAGCGGCGGCCATGAGTGCTCGAACTGCACGTGCTGCCTCTGCGCAAACTGCTCTCGTTGGCCACCTGGTGGCTGCTGTGGTGAACTCCCCCACGACCGATGCCAAGGTGCCCACGAGAATCTGTGCTTGCCGCCCGAGCCTGCGCCGCCAGCCATCGCTGCCGAGGAGACGTGATGGTTGCGACGATATACGAAAGAATGAGGGCGAGCCCTCGCGAAAGCAACCGAGCCAAAGGCCCGCAACAGCACTAGGCCGTTCTGAAGGCATGCTGCTGCAAGCTGAGGCTATAAAAGCCTGAGCCAGAAGGGCTAGTCGTCGTCGTCGTCGTCGTAGCAGTAGCAGTGGTAGCAGTAATAGAAAAATAGCAGCAGTAGTAGTAGTAGTAGTAGTAGTACTAGTAGTAGTAGTAGTAGTAGTAGTAGTAGTAGTAGTAGTAGTAGTACTAGTAGTAGTAGTAGTAGTAGTAGTAGTAGTAGTAGTAGTAGTAGTAGTAGTGGTGGTGGTAGTGGTAGTGGTAGTGGTAGTGGTAGTAGTAGTAGTAGTAGTAGTAGTAGTAGTAGTAGTAGTAGTAGTAGTAACAGTAGTAGTAGTAGTAGTAGTAGGCGTAGGAGGGGTAGTAGTATAAGTAGTCGTAGTAGTGGCGGCAGTCGTAGCTGTTGTAGTAGTAGTAGGAGTAGTAGTAGTAGTAGCAGTAGTGGAAATAGTAGTAATCGTAGTAGTAGTAGCAGTAGTAGCAGTAGTAGTAGTTGTTGTTGCAGTCGTAGTAGTAGTAGGAGGAGGCGGAGTAATCGTAGTGGTGGTATCAATAGTAATCGTATTAATCGGCGTAGGAGTAGCTGAAATAGTAGTAGTAGCCGTAGTAGTGGTAATGATAGTAGGGGTAGGAGTAGGAGTAGGAGTAGTAGTAGTAGTAGTAGTAGTAGTAGTAGTAGTAGTCGAAATAATCGTGTTCGAAACAGTAGTTGTCGTAGTATTAGTCGCAGTTGCACTACTACTACGACTACTACTACTACTACTACTAGTAGTAGTAGTAGTAGTAGTAGTAAGAACATTAGTGGGTAGTAGTAGCAGCAGTAGTAACAGTAGGCGTAGGAGTAGCAGTACTATAAGTAGTACTAATAGTAGTAGTAGTAGTAGTAGTAGTAGTAGTAGTAGTAGTAGTAGTAGTAGTTGTAGTAGAAGTAGTAGTAGTAGTAGTCGTCGTCGTAGTAGTGGTAGTAGTAAGAATAGTAATAGTAGTCTCAATGATAAGAGACGTAGTAGCAGTAGCAGTCGTATCAGTAGTCGTAGTAGTAGTTCTTGTAGCAGTACTGGTAGTACTCGCAGTCGTTGCTAGAGTAGTAATAGTAGTCGCCGTCGTCGTCGTAGTAGTAGTAGTAGTAGTCGTCGTCGTCGTCGTCGTAGTCGTAGTAGGTGTCGTAGTCGTAGTAGTAGTAGTAGTAGTAGCAGCAGTAGCAGTAGTAGTAGTAGTAGTAGTCGTAGTAGTAGTAGTAGTAGTGGTGGTGGTGGTAGTAGTAGTAATGATAATGTTTTGTAGTCGTCGTAGCCGTCGCAGTAGGATCAGTACTCTTATTACTATTTCCACTACTCTTAGTAATACGAATAACAATACTGCGATTAATACTCAGAATGAGCATGAGAGGAACAATACCAACAACAATAATGATACTACCACACACGATACTACTCATAACATTATCCACATAGGCTTGCCCTGCTAATTGGTCCGTTGCCCCCCCTGATTCCGATGCCCCCCTAATTCCTATGGCTATGCCCATGCCTATGCCTATCCCTCCCCCTTTTTCCATTGCCCCCCCCCTTATGTATGCTTGTTTGCTTGCTTGCGCGCTTGCTTGCTTGCCTGCCTGCGTGCTTGCTTTCTGCTTGCGCGCTTGCACGCTTGGTTGCTTGCGCGCTTGCTTACACGCTTGTTTCCATGCTGGGTTGCGGATTACAAGCATGCTCGATTCCTCTGGTTCCTTGGTTTGAACCGTCTACTCTATTTGGAGTCAACGCTGGCGGATAGTAATACCAACACGAGCAACAACAACAATAATAATAATAATATTAATAATACTGAGAATCGGAACGATGATGATGGTATGATATTTCTGAATGAAACACGCCGGGGAGGGCTGCCGCGGACTCCCCGTGGCCCTCCTCCGATGCGGCGCGGGGGGGGGGCATGGCCACATCCGCCGCTCTGGGAGCTGCGTCCCGGGACCCCACGGGGGCAGTGGGCGTGCGCTGACTCATCCGTACCCACAGCCTGTCCAGGTTCCCGAGGATCGATCCCCCGTCTTCGGCGGCGAGCGAGGGGGGAAAAGGTGAGAAGGAGCAGGCCTTGTCAGAGGGCGGCGGGACCTCTCAGAAGCCCTCCGACCTTCTGGGAAATGTTGTTACGTCTTCTGGGAAGGCTTAGAGCACTTCTCCGAAGGCTGGCCGGGGGACTTCTGAGCCTTCTGAGAAGGCCCACCGCCCGCCCCTTCTCACTTCCCCCCCGGCTCGCCGCAGAGCGTTGATTATGGAAGAGGCCCCGCCTCGGATCCGAGAGACAGAGAAAGAGAGAAAGAGAGAAAAAGAGAGAGAGAGGGAGGGAGGAGGGAGGAGAGGGAGGAAGTGAGGATACGACGACGACGACAACGACGACAACGACGACGACATCGACGACGACATCGACGACGCCGACAACGACGACGACGGAGAGAGAGAGAAAGAGCGAGCGAGGGAGCGAGCGACGGAGGACGGCAGATGTGCCACAAGCTTCGGGGGAGCGAAGAGTTGTGTGCGGTCTGGGAGCAGATGGGGTCAGAGGACGCTCGAGCACAACGGCCCGTGCAAGAAGGGAAGCTGAGTATATACAGCCGAGTAGGCTCCCCGATTCGGCGGTGGGCAAACCTCCCCTTAGTAAACCTCCGCTTAGTGAAAGCGGCCTAGGACCGGAACCGACGGACCTGGACCCGCAAAAATGACGGCGGCGACGCCCTCTCGCGAACAGAAAACGGTCAATTCCTTGATCGACGTGTCAGGGTAGGAGGTCTATCAACCTCCGACTAATTAACCCCATCTTGGGATAACCCCCCGTCTACGACCCCCCGATCCTCGCGCGTGCAGAGGCCGGGGCTCGGCGAGGTGGGGTTAGAGGTCAGAAGGCAGCCGCGCAGAACGGCGTGTGTAAGGAGGAAAGCGGAGTATCCAGCCAGGTAGGTTCCCTAAACCCACCTGAGCGACGATCAAAGAATGGTCTTACGCGACATGGCATCGCGAACTTACGCGGTGGCTTGCGCGGGCCGCCAGCGCGGCACGCTACAGTGGAGACCAGGGCGCTTACGCGCGACGTCACGCGGGCAACTTTCGCGGGAATGTCGGCGCAGACCCCTGAGATCCTGTCGTTGCAATTTTTTCACAACGGGCGTTTTTACTCAATTTCGGGCCCCAGGACTCTTACAGATCGATCCGGCTCGAAAAATGACGCAGGGACTCTGCTCGTGATTTTTTGCCACGTCACAGATTGATTCCAACCGTCGGATCTCAGGGACAACACCGCTTTCTTCCGTCGCCCACCCTGGGAGAACCCGCCGGCTACGGTTAGGTCGGGCATGCCCTCCTACAGGCTGATTTTTTGAAGGGAAAGTAAAAGCAGTCCAGAAATAGTAGAAACATGTTCCAAAAATAATACAACAATCATCCCCAGACTATTTATTTTTGAATTACACAAAAGAAAAACCCCGATCAATGGATGGTTCGAAATGGGATCGACTAAGAGATCGATAAAGAGATCGACTGGGAACCCGGGAACCCGGAACCCACCGAAATCGGCCCGGAACCAATGACCAGGACCCCGGGAACCCGGAACCGGGAATCCGGGAACCCAGCGGGCCACCAAAATCGGCGGGAAACTTTCACCAAATCTCTCAATCTCCGCTAGGACCTCTTCGGTGCAAGCACTGATTGGGGAACAATCGTCCCCAGCATATCGTCTGAACTAGTTTTGAATCTTCCTCCTGTAGAGGGACATGCCCGACTTCAGTCCACGGCCCCCCGATCGAACCTCGCGCGTGCCGCGGCCCAGGCTCGGCCAGGCGCGGCCCCGCGCCCGGGCGGGCGGCGGCGCTGCTGCGGGGCGCGCGGGGCGCGCGGGGCGCTCGCCTCGAGCCCCCGCTCGAACTGCCCCGCCGACACGACGCGGGTGCCCGCCGCGTCGAACCTGACGGAGCCGGGGGTCGGCGGCGAGCGAGGTGGGAGAAGAGAGGAGGAGCATGCCTTCTCAGAAGGAAGCGGGGCTTCTCAGAAGCCACTGCGCCGTCTGAGAGGTTCTTTTTGTGTCTGCGGGGAGGGCTCCGACAAAAACCTCCCAGGAGGCCGGGAATCTTCTGAGCCTTCTCAGGAGGCCCGCCTCTTCTCACTCCCCCCCCGAGCTCGCCGCCGAAGGGAGAGGTCAGGCTCCGCAGCCCCGCCCCCACCCCGCCCTCGTGAATCTCAATGGGTCCTCCCAGTATGCCCCCGCCCCCCCACGAACGGGGAAATCATCCTCTGCCCTCTAAAGGGGTATGACTTTTCTGGCTTCGGGGGACGGGCAGAGTCCGCTGCCGGCCAAGAGCTTTGGGGAGGGGGATGGGGGGCCCTGCCCCCCCCCCGCGGCCCCGCGCCGCCGCCGCCCCGGACCTCTCTCCCGCGCGCACCTGCACCGCTCCTCCCGCTCGACCAGCCCGCCCCGCTCCCCCGCGCCCACTCGGGAGCAGCCGGCATCGAATCGCGAAGCCAACGCGGATCGGGATATGCATCGAGTCGGGCTGCATCGGCACGGAGCCGGGAACAAATCATATCGGCCGCGCCGGGATACATAGAAGCTCCCTGCAAGCATCCGGCCGCGTCGGGTCGTCAGAACATCGAGGTTGAATCCGGTCTGAACCAGCCGAACTCGATACCGAATCGGATCGAAAGGATCCGAATGGACCTAGAGAGGTTCGATGATCGAGGTTTTTGGGGGGCGTTTTGCGCTCGTGATTTGACATCAGGGAAGGCTTCTCGTCGCCACGGATGGATTCCCTCGGAACTTGGGCCAGAGCGCACCCCTCGGAGAGGTGCGGAGGGGAGATGTTTTCTGTTAAAAAAAAACAGGGGAGGGGAGGACGAGGGATCACTAGATTGGTACAGCCACGCGCGCTTGGGTTTTGGCGCACGCTGGCGCACGCAAGCCAAAGCACATGCAAGAGGGCCGTCTCGAATCTCTGACAAATCGTGCAATGAAAAGCGATCTGCCTCGCTTCGCATCCAGGAAGAACTGTTTACCACTAAGACCACCTCACTCATGGACGTGTTAGTTGCTGTAGGCAATACCGTCAAGAGAAGGACGAGCGCGATAAGCCAGGACCAGAGCTTGCCGAGCAGCCCTGTCAGAACTACTACTGGAAGCTGCTGATAGCTACCGGAAGTTGCCGATGGAGAGGACTTGGATCCACGTGGGTGTAACAAGGACTTCTGAGATGAACGGATATTGAGCGAAGAGCAGTTTAAACTCCGCCTAGCACTCAGAGTGTTCATGGGTCCACACTTCATCCTCCAGGGGCTCTCGAATAACCGATTACAGCCAAGACAAGGAGCGCACGCAAACAGGCGACACAGCACGACTCAGTGCACCTCCCACATAACAAAAAACGATGCGATGTGGCTCGCCTCTCTGGTCAAACACATTCCTCCTCTCCCCTTCTCCTACTCCCTCCTCGGAAACGCGTTGCTGAAAGAGTGGGCGACGCCCATGTTTTGCTGATCATCGTGAACACGCCTCGCATACTACCGAAAGGACCAACTTACGCATCAAACAACAATTTCCACCCGTGAGCTTCTGCTTCACCTGAAATCGGAACTTGCTTCGCGCAGGGCCCTTTTTCCTTCTATCACGCGCATCACAACAAACGAACACATTGAACGCCAGGTGGAAGCCAGTTGCAAATCCAACATCGGGCACTACAGATATGCGTATGTATACACGAAAGAGATACAGAGAGAGAGAGAGAGGCATAAGCAACCCGCTACATGATAATCACTGCCATCTGCTCCACCGCCCGCGCGATGATCACCCAGAAGGTCTCTGAAGGACCCCCGAGCTCCCCAGAGGGAAGAGGACGAGAAAGAGGAGAGAGGAGAGAAGGGTGACGGAGGGAAGATTGGCGGTGCCCACAACGGGGTGGAGGGAGGAGGGAGGGCTTCTTAGAGGGAGGCTTCTTCTTAGAAGGCGCCGGCCTTACATCTGTAGAAGAGGCCCGGGCCTTCTAAGATGCAGGGGTGCTTCTAAGGAGCTCTCCCCCCTCCCCCCACCCCCCTCTGAGGGTGGCCGAGGGGAGAAGGATGACGGAGGGAAGTCCAGAAACGAAGCCTCTGGAATATGGACTCGAGCACGTGCTTGTAGAAGAAGACCGGCCGCAGCACCTCGCCCAGCAGCGCGGCCGATAGGTCGCGCGCCAGGCGCCTCGGCCTCAGAGGGCGGTCGTCGTCGTCGTCGTCGTCGTGCTCCTCCTCCTCCTCCTCCTAGTCCTCCTGCTCCTTCTCCTGCTCCTGCGCCTCCATTCCTTTCCTTATGAATAACCCCTCGCTCTCGCACCCCAAGTCCGGTCGGGACGGCGGGCCGAGCGTTTCGCCTGAGACTTCCTTGCCACCTATGAGCCTGCAGCTTCGAAACTGGCAACACCACTTTCACAGATGGAGGGCGGGTCGCTTCCAAAATGTGGCTCTCGCCTTAGCGCCGCGCACAGCCGCCTTCAAGACTTGCAAGAGTTTCACTGATCGGGGGCGGGTGGTTTTAAACATCTGGCGCGCATTCGTGCTAAAATGTACGAGGTTTTAGCGGATTGAAGCAAATCGCTTGCAGAATGTGGCTCTCGCCTTAGCGCTGCGCCTTTTCGTCTTAAAGAGCTGTGAGAATTGCGCGGGTTGTCATGGTTATGACCTTCCAGCACGGACGTTGCCGAACGATTCAGGAATGTTCGGGCGCAACAGTTACGTTGATTCGCGGTGTTGAAGTACCGCGAATGGCTTCCTGGCGCGATTGAGGATCGTCAAGACGCTACAGTAAGGTTGACTCGTGACGTCGGCGTCCCGAAAACTGTGTTCTGACACGCTTCAGGATTTTCACACGCTTGTCTCCCAACGGGGCACTTCTCTCAGTGGAAATGACTCCTTGTATGGGGCCCATGACGAGGGAGCTTGGAGGGAGGGCGTATCACAACACCGTTGATGAGTCTTGGGTTTGCACTGGTCCTCCTCCTCCTCTTCGTCTCCTGCTCTTCCCAGGGGAAGCGGGAAGAGGAGGCGGGGAAGGGGGAGGAGGAGACGGGGAAGATGCTGAAAGATCAGGGTGGGGGAGGGGGAGGGGGAGGCGGGGAAGGGGGAGGGGCGCGGCTTCCAGAACATGCTGAAAGATCAGGGTGGCGTCTCGGGTGTCCCCCTCCAACTCCTGACGCTGCGGGCCACTCGCGGTCTGTCCGCGTAGCCCCGCGGCGCCCGCGCCGCCGCGCGCGGGCGCCGCGCATGCATGCTCGGACGTGTGCCGTGCAACGAAGAGCACGTCGAGCGAGCCGAACACGCGAGGCGAGCGACGTACAGCGTGCACGAGGCCGACGGGCCTCCAGCTCCTCCGCCTCACCTTCCCTGCTCTTTTTCAGTTCTGCGGAGAGCTGGCGGTGATACGATCGGCATCCAGGAGCGGGGTCCTGGAGGAAACGGGCCCTGAACCCCTAAAACAAGCGCGCTCCACAACTTACCAAAGAACTGCTCGTAGGCGGCCTGGATCGGCCGCGGGGCAGTTACGACACACTACATCGGGGCAAACATGTGTTTTCCGGACGTCAGCGAGTATGCACTTTGCGAGTAGTGGGACTCCCTCGGTGACCCCTAGGGGATTCCCCCAGGACCAGCTTTTCGTAATCAGTACGGTTTGGACCCTCCCAGGGCCCGTGGGAGGGCGGGCCTCATGGAGCTCGAAAGCGGCCAGGACCGGCTCCCCTCAGGACCCTCGTGGCTTCGTGGCGAAGACGAGGAGGAGAGGAGGAGGTCCTCGAAGTACCCCAGCACTGCCGGGGTCCCAGGAGGGCGCCGAGCTACCCGAGGGGTGGCGCGCTGCACCTGCAGCGCGACAGGATCGTAGGAATGCGCGGCAAGGGTGCAGGGACCTCGGACGCTAAAGACGAAGTATGTTGAGCGAAGATGGCCAGTCATCGTGGCCGAAGATGTGTCGAGGATGCAAAGATGAAAAGGGTGCCCTGTGATGGGGGACGTCAGGGGGGACTGGCTCAGGGGGCGGGGAGGAACGTCCACCTGGAACCGGCGGTACAGTCGGGGCGTTGACCTAAGGAACCCTAAATAAGGAACGAGGCCCCTTTTTCCCATAAATTAACCTTCGATTTCCTGTCGAAAACATAAGGAAAGCCTGAGGCAAGCTGTGAAACGCTTAAGGAACGCGGAGCCCCTCCTGAACCAAAAGGGTTCCTTCTTCGGGGCCCCGACGGTACATCGCCGGTAGATCTGCACAAGGCCGCCCGCAGATCCGCGCGCTCCGGGGCGGGGCAGGCTGCCGAGCCCCTGCAGGCGATCCGTGGGCGGCTGAGGGCCGAGGCGTCCGCCCCCCATCGAGCCTGTCCCCCAGCCTCGAGGGTTGCCGGCTGCACGCAAGGCGTGGCCCCAGGCAAGGGAGAGTGGCGTCTGCTGCGCGGCTTGCCGGTCGTTGCGGCACATGCTTGCCCCCCCGAAAGCCGCGCGCGGAAGGTAGCGCTGGCGAAGAGTCACCCTGAAGTAAGCAGTCAAAACGTGTATCGAGGACGAGTGGTAAGGGCGCAAGACCCTCGGGAGACCGACGCTGTTTTTTGGGGGGCGGCGGGCGACCGGCGAAAACGGTACAGGACGGGCCGCAGAGGCAAGGACGCAAGGGCACCCTAGATGAAGGCGCGCGCCCTTACCAGGCGCGTTGGCCATGGTCGGGATCGGCATGAAAGCAACGGGCCCTCAGAGAAACCGGCCATGGGGCCTCCCCCACGGATCGGCAACGGCAACAGGCTGGGTGTCGGCTGCTGCTGCCTGCCCTGGAGCCCCGGGAGGGGCACGGGGGCCCGAGAACGGGGAGGCGGCTCCGGGACACGCGTCCACCTCAGCACCCCGCCCCTTCGTGGCGGAAGGGCAGAGGAGTGGGGGACGGGGGGGGGGGGAGCAGCACGGGGGAAGAGAGCCTCCAGGGCACGCGTCCGCCTCAGAAAACCCCGCCCCTCCGTGGCGGAAGGATGGAGGAGTGAGGGACGGCGGGGAGCAGCGCGCGCCGAGGAAAGGATAGAGGAGCGAGGGACGAGGGAGCGCGGCGCGCAGCGCGCTCCTCCTCGCGCGGCCTCGACGTCGGCTCGGACAAGAAGCCCGCGGCGCCCCGTGCGCGCCGCCGCTTAGCCGAGGGCCCCGCCCCACGGCGCGCAGGAACTCGATGAGGCTGACGCGGCCGTTCTCCACGCCGAGCGTGTCCATGAAGCCGACCAGGGCCTGGCCGCAGGGCCAGACTGGGCCGGGATGGGCGCGAGACCTCCTCCTCCTCCTCCTCCTCCTCCTCCTCCTCCTCCTCCGCCGCCTCCCCCTCCTTCTCTCCCCTCCTCCTCCTCCTCCTCCTCCTCCTCCTCCTCCTCCTCCTCCTCCTCCTCCTCCTCCTCCTCCTCCGACTGTACCGAGATGGGCGCGAGAAATGAGCGAGGGGGCCCGCGAGTTCCACGCCCTCGAAGAAAGGAGTTCCTCGCCACGAGGGGTCGTGCCCAGAACCTTCGGCCCCATCTTCTTGCGGCACTGTTTCTCGAGCTGGATCGAGAATTCAGGGTCCCAGGGCCCAAAAATGAAGCCGAGAACGCCCTTCGAGTTTCTTGTTCACAACTCGGGCATCTGACCACAGTTCAAGGTGAGCCCTCTGAGTCATGAAGAAAGGCCCTCTGGATCTTCAGGACAGTGCAAGATCTCGAACTTCCATTAAAACGTGGTCGGCTAACCGTGCAACGCTACATAGGGAAGAGCAAGCGCGAGGGGTAGCCCTTCAACGCGAATGATGCGCTCTTCCTGATCATGCTCATGCTGCTCTTTCACATCCTCTCCACAAAAATCCTGCCCCCCTCTTTCCACCTCCCCGTCCCCCTCGCATATTCCTCCTGCTCCCCTAGCTTCTCTGACGCCTGTGCCTGGCTGACCACACCGTCGATCGCCGCAGATGGACCCACCTCTCCCAACGGCGCTGGGCCATAGCCGAATCGGCCGTGTGATCGGCGACCGCATGGCCAACAATGACTGTAATCTTGGCCAGCCGGTTGTACATCCTCTGCCTTCAACACTTCGCAAGAACCTGCATATGATTATTTGTTCCACTGGCGGTCGGTCAAACGGTACCGTGCACGTGGTCTACGCTTCAAGGTGACTAATTGTGCGGGGACCCTGGAGGGCCTCCAGTCAAGGTGTCAATCGTCATTACGCGGTTTAAAACCTGTAGCCCTACCGTTGGCGAAACGTGTGGTGGCGATGGCTTCCCCGAGATATGAATTTGGAGGAACTGCGAATTTGAGAGATCGAACTGCCACTCAGAACAAATTGGTCTTCTTCATGATTCGGAGGAACTCCTCCTCGTTCACCTCCCCGTCGCCGTCCCGGTCGGCCTCGTCGATCATCTCCTGCAACTCCTCATCCGTCATCCGCTCGCCCAGCTCCTTCGCCACGCGTTTCAGATTCTTGAAAGAAATCTTGCCAGTCTCGTCGTCATCGAAAAGCCTGAACGCCTTCAAAATCTCGTCCTTGGGGTCACGGTTCAAAATCTTGTGCGTCATCATCTTGAGGAACTCCTCGTATCCGATTGTCCCGCTCCCGTCGTCGTCTACGTCGGAGATCATCTTCTGAATTTCCTCCTTCTTCGGCTCGAAACCGAGGGCTCGCATTGCCACCTTCAACTCCTTGGAGTCAATCTCGCCCGAGCCGTCCGTGTCAAACAGGTCGAACGCCTCCTTGATCTCTTGTTTCTGCTCCTCGGGGGGGAATTCGTTCTAACGATGCATGCAATTAAACTTCGCAATGTTGGCTACGCAGTGTTTTCGACGCGGTGTTTTCTACGCGACGTTTTCTACGTTGTGTCTCGTTTACGCGGTAATTTTGCTTTATTGGAGAATTGCTGTTAACGCTGAATTAGATTCAACTCCACAGTGTTTTATACGCAATGCTTTCTACGCAGTGTGTTCTACGCAATGCTTCCTACGTGGTGTTTTCTTCGCGGTGTTTTCTAAGATGTGGCGTTTGTACGCTGTTGTTTACGCGTTTTTGTTTTGTCATCTTGGTTTTACGAAGTGGCGCTGCACTTTGTGGACGCGTTTTTAACGTTGTGCTTGTCTACGTGGTGGTGTTCCGTAATGTTATATGGAAAATGTGGTCGCACCGCTATTTGCCGGAAAGCTCTCAGCTCCATGATGGAGGGCGTCTACCAAAGGACCGCGAGGTGCCCCGCAGGGACCTTCGGATTACCTCGAAGCGCATTCCAAATTCCTTCGCGCAAATAGGTTGTGCGTTGGCACACTGCGCAAATTGTTCACTCGGTGTGTTTATGTGGTGTTAGTTGTACGTGATGATGTTTACGTTGTGTGTTGTTGAAGTTTTGCTACGCTGTGTGTTGTACCTGGCGCTGTTTTAAGATATGCCAGGATGTTCCTTGCTGAGTACGCATTGACAAAGTGTTGTTTTACAATGTGTTGATTGGCCTGGTGGTTTCTACGTGGTGTTTTTGTTATCCAGCTTTGTTGCACGATGTCCTGCCATACTTTGTAGGCGCTGCTTGTTTTTCATAGTGTGTCTGTGCGCGGTGCGTTCACGTGGTGTTGTTTTTGCGTGGTGTTCGGTTTCTCTGAAATGTTCTACGTTGTTTTGTTAACGTGTGTGTTTTCCTCCGCGCTGTCTTACGACGCCCTGCGGTAAGTGTTACAACTGTTGGTTGTTGATGGTTCTTGAACTCTCATGTTTAAAGAATACTGTTGAACCCACATCTCCGGTAAACAATAGATGTTTCAAGTCAAGTGCTTCTCCCAGGGCTCGCACCGTGTTTTTTTTACAAGGGAAAGCGAAGGGTCACAAAACTGCGTTGTTGGGCCCCACCCTACAACAACAACGGCTCCCGTCGGATACTTCGTCACAAGAAATTCCCAAATCGCGCTCTCGCACGGGACGCTGTCACAATTTATGCAAAAACCGCGCTCTTTCGTGGGACTTCCTCGCAATTGATTCAGACGCCGCGCCCTCGACACTCAGGAATCACGCTCTCGCTGTGGATTTCCTGACGGTGTATTTGGGAATCGCGCAATCGCTCGAGACTGCTTCGCGATTCATGCAAAAGGCACGCTCCAGCCACCCGCCTGCTCGACCTGGCCGCCCGGGCCCGCCTTCAAGACCCGCCCGTTAGGGTCTACCCGCCAGGTCTGCCCGTCTGGTTCTGCCACGTGTTTTCTGCTCCTCGGCCCCCCTTCTGCTAATCTCTCTCGTGCTCCATCCTCCTCCCTCCCCTTTGTCCCTTCCTTCCATCCGTCCTCCCTTCCCCTGCCTTAGGGGCTGCACGGAATACACGTTGCAGGTAAGAAAGATATATGCCTCCGTGAGGGTACGATCGAAGACGAAGAGGGCGGGTATCGAGGGTTTGGGATGTACGTGTTGAGTGATGCGCGTGCAGATAAGAGCGATCAGACTTTACATGAATGTTGTTGTTGATGGTGTTGTGTGTACGTGGTGTTGCGCATGTGTGTTGCGTAGTGTCTTTCAGCTGTATGTTGTACGACCAGCTTTGTTTTATGATGTCCTGCAGTAAGTTGTAGCTGCTGTGATTACATTGCGCTTTGGTCACGCAAAGTTCTATTGCGTGTTGTTTACGTGGTGCTGTTTACGCTGTGCCGGTTTACGCTACGTTTGTTAGCTGGTGCTTTGCTCGGCGCTGCTGAGGGTCGCGGGCAAGCGCCACCAAATTATTGGTTTGTTGGTCAAATGTTTCTTTGCCACGCTTCACTACTCAAAATTCCATACCACAGCCGTGAAACAGCACAGCGTAAAACAATACCACGTAGAACACGGCGTAGAAAGCACTGCGTAGGCAACACTGTGTAGAACAAGCTGCCCTTGGGGGTTTTCGAGCAGGCGTCGTTAGACTATTGGTTGTGTTGGTCAAGTCTTTCCCTACCACGCTCTACCACGCACAGCTCTATGCCACAGCCGTAGGACAACACAGCGTAACACAACAGAGCGTAGTAAGCATTGCGTAGAAAACACGGCGTAGAAAACCCTGCGTAGCACACGCTACGTATGGGTGTGTTCGATCAGGCGGCTTTGAATTACTGTTTTGTTGGCCAAGTCTTTCCCTACCACGCGCCACCACGCAATACTCCACACCACAGCCGAAAACCCGCACAGCCCCTAAAACAATATGATTGTTGGCCCGTCTTTCCCTACAACGTTCCAGTACAATGTAAAACACTGCGTAGAAAACTCTACGTATAAAACGCGACCTCGGAAACACTACCTAGAAAACAGTACGTACAAAACAACTACGTAGAACACACTACGTTGAAAACGATACGTATAACACATTACGTAGAAAACACGACGTAGAAAACACGACGTAGAACACACTGCGCAAGTTAACTCAATGCACCGTGAAGTGTTCTACTTGACTGTTAAGAGAACCCTTGGCTCCTCGGAGAGTTCCTTCTGCTTCTTGCCGCCCTGGTTGAAGCGACGCAGAGCCATTGCGAGGACGCGGGAGGTGGTGAGCTGCGGGCAGACGGCCGAATTTGCGAGCGCTCGTGACAGCTTGAACCAGAACGACTGTAAGTGGGTGGACTCAGTGCAGGACATTTGCTGCACAGCTCTGTGACCGAGCGGTCAACACTCGTAACCAACTCGTGCCAAGCATCGGAAACGCTCCTGCAAGAAACCTGGGCCAGCTGGTAAGTGCGAATGTAAGACGCTATCCCCACTCGTGTACGCAAAACCTATTTGCAACCACAGCGACACCATCCGTGCGTGTGAGCGGGAGGGGGGACACGGGAGGACAAGCGCGTGGGAGCGGGAGGGGACAAAAGAGGGAGGGGGGTAAAGGGAGAGAGAGGGAGAAGGGAATATTAGAAGGGGCTGGGATGATGATGATGCTGCTGATGATGTCGATGATGATGATGCTGCTGCTGCTGATGATGATGGTGATGATGATGATGACAATGACGATGATGACGATGATGATGACGATGATGATGATGATGATGCTGATGCTGATGCTGATGCTGATGCTGATGATGATGATGATGATGATGATGATGATGATGATGATGATGATGATGATGATGATGATGATGATGATGATGATGATGATGATGGCCGCGGGTCGGAGAGGACGCGTCGTGCCGCGCCCGCTCCCGCCCGCGCCACCGCCCCGAGGGAGAGGCGACGAGGGACCCCGAAGCCGCGGGCCGCCAGGACAGACCCTACACATAGGGTCCGCGCGTGCATCCCAGCCGCTCAGGCCCGAGGGCCCGGCGACCGCGGCGCCCCAGCAGGACGGGCGGGGGGCCTCCGCGAGGCCCCCGCAACCAGACAACGAGGCGGATCCAGCGGGGCGGGGAGGGCTGCTGGGCCGACATGGCCCGCCTTCCCCGCCCCCACCACCCGCCGCGCCCGCGCGGCAGGCCCCGAGGAGGTACGTGGTGGCTGTTGAGCAGGTCCGCGGCCTTGGCCAGGCCCGCGTGAAAACGCACGGAGCCGCCGCCTTCCCAGGCTCTGACCAGATCGCGCTCGCTGGCACGCAGGCACCTGGCGCGCCGATGCCACGCCTCCCCCGAAGGCGCGATGGTCCTGGCCAGAGGGGAGCTCGCGGCAGTCGCCTGCCGCACCCAAAGCTCTTGGGCCGAAATGCAACTAAGGGGCTGGGATGAGGAGGTGGCAGAGAAGCGCACAACAAATCTGTCTCACGCAGCAGCGCACCTACATCAGCTTCTGATCTAAAACTCTGCTATGTAGCAAGCGTTTGTCGTTGTACCAGTCCCCGAGATTCAACGCCGTGAGGAAAACGTTTTTCCGTCGGCGGCGGGGCAAAGTTGGCTGCATCAGCGCTAGAGCTAGATGGGGGCACCGAAAAGTGAATTGGCCAGCGTGCGCGAGCGGGACGAGGGCAGAGACTGCGGCCGAGGAGGGGGGGGATCCTTAAAAAACACGCCGTGAAGAAAACACGCGAAAACTACAGCGGCTCTCAATCTCATCTTCCTGCCGGGCTCTTCGAGCCGTGGCGACCTGTGAGGATCTCGGTGCACGAGCGAGCATGCGCGTCGGGTTTTTGCTCGCAACGCTGAAGTTGGAGGGGCCGGTGCATTGTCCGCCCACAAGGACCTGCAGGCCTGGCGACCTGCGGCGGTCTTGGACCTTCCGTCTGCGCGCATGGCTGCCAAAACCTTGTCATGAGCCAGGGGGAGCCCTGAAGGAAACAGATCCTGGATAGCCCAGAGCTCCTCCGAGCCGATCCTGAACCGTTTTCTGTGTCTCTGGCTCCAGGAAGAGGCCCGCGAGGCCGAGAACTGCGGAAAGTCTCAGAACCCCCCTCCCTCAGGGCCCTCCTTGGCCCATAGCGCGGGCAAGCAGGAGGGGAGGAGAAGGGGAATGAGAGAATATATATTGGAAACTGACTCAGGGGGCGAGGGTGGGGGGGACATCGACCTGGAATCGGCGATACATCGTCCATAGATTGGCGACAGGCTACCGATAGCGGATCCAGACCTTCCTGGGCGGGGCGGGCTATCGGGCCCCCATCGGCGCGATCCATGGGCGATTGGCGGTCGATGCATCCATCCTTCCCGAGCCGATCCCCATCTCTAACGTCGCCCCCTGGCTTTCGGGCTCCGGCTTGGCTCTCCGGCGGCCGTTCGGGACGACCCAGGCACCCTCAGAACGCCCTCGGCGAGGCGCAGCCGCTGGAGAGCATGCCGAAGCTGGAAGCAACACCGCCGAGAACCGACGAACCCGCCAAGAAATCTCGAGCCTCGAACGCCACCTCGAGAAGCGGAAAGGGAAGGGGGGGGCAGCCCGGGGGCCCGCCTCAGGGGCAGCAGCGAGCCGAGAACCGACGAACACGCCAGGAACTCTCGAGCCTCGAACGTCACCTCGAGGATCGGAAAGGGAAGGGGGGGGGGGGGCGGCAGCCCGGGGGCCCGCCTCACGGGCGGCAGCGAGCAGCACCTCGGGCGCGGGCGGCTCGCACCCGCAGCTCGCGAGCGCCACCCGCAGCAGGCAGCAGGCGAGACTCCGCCGCCGATCAGCAGCCAGCTCGCGACAGCCACCAGCCCACCACCGGCAGGCGAGACCTCGCCACCGCCCGGGAGAGCGGCCAGTCCACGATGGCGCGCCCGCCCGCCAAGAGGTGGCAGCTAAGCGGCTGCGCGGGGGCCGCCGAGTCGAGTCCCTCCGGGCGGCCTCGCGGCTGTGTGTGTATGTGTGTGCGTGTGCGTGTGCGTGTGCGTGTTCGTGTGCGCGTGTGCGCGTATGCGTGTGTGCGTGTGTGCATGTGTGCGTGTGTGCGTGTGCGCGTGTGTGCGTGTGAGCGTGTGCGCGTGTGCGCGTGTGCGCGTGTGCGCGTGTGCGTGTGTGCGCGCGTGCGCGCGTGTGCGCGTGCTTGTGTGCTTGTGTGCTTGTGTGCTTGTGTGCTTGTGTGCTCGTGTGCTCGTGTGCTTGCGTGTTTGTGTGCTTGTGTGCTTGTGTTCTTGTGTGCGTGTGTGCTTGCGTGCTTGTGTGCTTGTGTGCTTCTGTGCTTGTGTGCGTGTGTGCTTGTGTGGTTGCGTGCTTGTGTGCTTGTGTGCTTGTGTGCTTGTGTGCGTGTGTGCTTGTGTGCTTGTGTGCTTGTGTGCTTGTGCGCGCGTGCGCGCCTGCGCGTGCATGTGCGGGTGTGCGTGTGCGTGCGCGTGCGCGTGTGCGTGTGCGTGTGCGTGTGCGTGTGCGTGTGCGTGTGCGTGTGCGTGTGCATGTGTGCGTGTGCGTGTGCGTGTCCGTGTGCGTGTGGGTGTGGGTGTGGGTGTGTGTGTGTGTGTGTGCGGTGGTGGGGGGGTGGGCGGGGGGAGGTCGGTGGGTGGGTGGGTGGGTGGGTGGGGCGTGTGCGTGTGCGTGTGCGTGTGGGTGCGGGCGTGGGCGTGGGCGTGGGCTTGGGCTTCAGCGTGGGTGTGGGGTCAGGTCTGGGTGAGGGCGTGGGTGTGGGCGTAAATGAGGGCAGGTTGGAGCGCTTGCTGCGCCCGACCTCCGCAGGCGGTGGTGCCGCGGGGGTGCCAGCAGGAGCACCGGGCCCGACGGCCGAGAGGCGCCGTGTGCGGCCTCCGCTTCGACCTCCGCTTCGCTGGAGGCCTCCCCGATGCAGACGCGTCGGGCGGCCGCCCCGGGCGCAGTGGTGAGCTGGCCGCGGGCGCTCCGCTTCGCCTGGCTGGCGCAGGCGGCGCGCGAGCGCCTCCAGCGAGGTCACCGTCCTGTCCCAGGCGTCCCTGCACTCCTCCATCGCCTCGGCCTGCTGGGACCCTGGCGCCTGGCCTCGGCTACGCGCAAGAGGGGCCCTGCGCCAAAAGTGGCCAATGGTGCGCGGCTCGCAGCTCGTTGCGTGCGATGCGACAGCAGCGGCCTGCGTGCTTGGGTGTGGCCCCCCGCCCACCTCCCCCGCGCCCCCCGAAGGCGGTGCACCGAAGGTCACTCTGGCAGATGGCCACTCGTTCGTGGAGCCGATGGTCGTCGCCATCGCTGGGCAACGCCTGCAGCGTCCTGCCGCCCAGCACATCGGACAGCGCGCCGAACGCAAGCCCGGCGCGGCCAAGAGCGCCCAGCACGCCGCAGCTGCTGGACGAGGCGACGGGTCGGCCGCGGGCGATGCCCTGGCCCGCCACCTGCAGCAGCCGCTCGCTGGCCTCCGCAAGGCACGCTGCGGCCTCCGAGATCGCCCGCGCGCGCGCCTGCAGCTGGAGCCGCGCGCGGCGGGGCCGTCGCAGGTTGCCCTAGCAGGCGCCCGCTGGTGGAGTGCCTCGAGGCCTGGCCCTGGGGCTCCTCGAGAGCCGCAGCGGCCTCGGAGGCTGCACGGCAGGGGCTCTGCTGCGCGAGGAGAGGGAGGAGGAACGAACGAACGAAGGAACGAACGAACGAACGAACAAGTCTCGGACCTCGCTGTCTGGTCGACTGACAACCTGCGCAGCACTAGACTACTGGATAGGAGGAGGAGGAGGAGGAGGAGGAGGAGGATGAGGAGGAGAAGGGGTGCACACAGGAGAGCGGAGGGGGAGGAGGGTGGTCGGGCCCCGTCGGAATGATGCTTCGGTGGCTGCGGGAGTCCGAGCCTCGGGCCACCCCGAGCCGATGCGGCGAAGGGGGCGGCGGCGGCGGCACATCGCGCCGGCGGGTCCTGGATCTGCTGCCGCGTGAACTGGCGGCCGATGTCGGGCAGCCCCTGGATCAGGGCCTGCCCAGCCACAGCGGGAGGCAGGCGGGCAACAGCAGCAGTGGGAGAAGACGGACACGGGAGCAGAAGCAGGACAATCAGGAGCGGACGCGTGATCGAGAGCAGGACCCAAAGAAGGAGCGCGAGGAGGGAGCAGGAGGGAGGAGGCTGGAGGAGGACGGACGGAGAATGGTCGGGGACAAAAGAGAGACAATGAGAAGGAGCATGGTCATGTGGCGGGGGTAGTGAGCTCGTGCAGGGGGCGGGGGGGCGAGGGCAACTTAGGTGGCGAAGCTGTGTACCCATCCGCGCTGTCGCCGACGCACGCATTCAGGTGGGAGGTGCTGGCGGCCGAAGATGGAGCTGAGAGAGAGAGAGAGAAACAAAAAAACAAAAAGCAACAGCAAAGAAGAGGAACATCAATCTATATATATATACATCTAGAGAGGGAGAGAGACAGAGGGAGAAAGAGAGAGAGAGGGAAAGAGAGAGAGAGAGAGAGAACGAGAGCGAAGGCAACGAATCATACCGTACATGCACGTGAAGAACTACATATAGAGAGAGTGAGAGAGAGAGAGAACAAACAATGAGAAAGAGAGCGAGAGAGAGAGAGAGAGCAGGAGAGAGCGAGAGAGAGTGAGAGAGATATGAGGGTGAGGCTACGGGGAGAGCGAGAGAGAGGAGGGCCTGAGAGAGAGAGAGAGAGACAGATACAGAGACAGAGAGATAGAGAGTGAGACAGAGGAGAGAGGGAGGGAATGAGTGAGGTGGATAGCAACAAGTATATGCAATAGTATGTGCATGCGCGCACACACACACACACGTGTACACGTACGTGTACATCTCTGTACGTTTCCGCCACCGTGCCGGACGCACTGAGTCGAGTGTCGTCGAGTCCCTTCGAGCTCTGCGTGCTGGAAACTATAAGTGCTCACTGCATACCCCGTTCCCCATTTTCGAGGGCGCTACCGAGCGCTACCAGGCGCTCTCTGGGACGCTCGCGTGACTTTCCCTGAGGCCATGGGAGCGTGACCGCTGGTCTAAACCTCGAGCATGCTCTGAGTTGGTCTCAGGGGCCCATGCGGTCGCTCTCTCGGGGTCCTCGTGGGCCGTCTTTGAGGCCCTGGGCGCAGGCCCCACAGGCCCAAATCATGATGCATCGTAAATGTGTATTCCCCGCCCTCCTGTGCGTTGGGTTCTCGTTCGCATTGGGCACTGTGGTCTCTAAGGACTCCTCCTCTTCCTCCTTACTCTTCCTCCTCCTCCTCATCCTCCTCCTTCTCCTCCACCTCCTCATCAGCATCCATCAGCATCAGCATCATCATCATCATCATCAGCATCATCATCATCATCATCATCATCATCATCATCATCATCAGCATCATCATCATCAGCATCAGCATCATCATCAGCATCACCAATCACCATCACCATCACCATCACCATCATCATCATCATCATCATCATCATCATCATCATCATCATCATCATCATCATCATCATCATCATCATCATTATCCTCCTCTTCCTCCTCCTCCTACTGCTACTACTACTACTACTCCTCCTACTCCTACTCCTCCTCCTCCTCCTCCTCCTGCCTCCCCCTGCCTTCTCCTCCTCCTGCCTCCTCCTCCTCCTCCTCCTGCCTCCTCCTGCTCCCTCCTCCTCCTTCTCCTCCTCCTCCTCCTCCTCCTCCTCCTCCTCCTCCTCCTCCTCCTCCTCTCTACTCCTCCTGCCTCCTTGCCTCCCTTGCTCGTACCTTTCCTACTTGGGGGCTGCGAGCTGCGCAACTGCCGCCACTCCCGCGGGCTCCCGGAAGAAGTGGAGGCGAGGGCCACGCGGACCCTTTTTCAGACCTCGCTGCTCCGTCGGGGGCCGCGAGCTGCGCGCAACTGCCACCACTGTCGTGGGCTCCCCGGAGGCAAGACAGAGTGCAGAGCCACGCACATCCAGGCGAGATTTAGGTCGGGCGTGTCCTCCTACAGGCGGGCTTTGGACGAAAATTAAAAAACAATGCACCAACAATATTCAAAAATGGCCAAAAGATACTCAAAGCATCGTCCCCATACTGTTTTTGGTACTATTTCTGAAGATTCCTCCTGTGGAGGACACGCCCGACTTAAATCCAGGCGAGATCTCACCGCTCCGTCGGGGGCTGGAGCCTGCGCAACTCGCGTCTGTGGGCTCCTGGGAGGCACGGCGGAGTGCAGGGCAGCGCGGATTATCGGAGACCTCGCGGCTCCCTCGGGGGCTGCGGTCTGCGCAGCGGTGGCCACATTCGTGGGCTCCCGGGAGGCACGGCGGAGCGCAGGGCCGCGCAGATCCAGGCGAGGTCTCACCGCTCCCTCAGGGGGCTGCGAACTGCGCAACTGCCGCCATGTTCGCGGGCTCCCAGGAGGCACGGCGGAGCGTCGGGCGGATCCCTATGGGGCTGCGAAGTGCGCAACTGTCGATACATCCGTGGGCTCCTGGGAGCCACTGCGGAGTGCATGGCCACGAAGATCGTGCGTATCTAGCAGAGTGTTCTTATGTTTGAAGCCTTCATATAAATAGTGGCCTCACGTGGAGAAGGGCACATGTGAGCCTCGGGTAATTTGGTATGCTCGGCTTTTCTGTTGTAGGAGCGCGAATCTGCGAGCTGGTCTGCGCAAGTCGGTGCGCTGGTCGGTGCGGGAGCCGGCGAGCTGGTCGGTGCCGGAGCCAGCGGGGAGGGGGGAGTGAGCGCGGGCTGTTTGGTGCGGGAGTTGGTGAGCTGGTCGGCGCGGGAGTGGTCGGTGAGCCGCTCGGTGCGGGAGTCAACGAGCTGGTCGGCACGATCGGTGAGCTGGTCGTCACGTGAGTCGGTGAGCCGCTCGGTGCGGGAGTCAGCAAACTGGTCGGCGCGGGAGTCGGCGAGCTTGCCGGCTCTAGAGTCGGCGAGCTGGTCGGTGCGGGAGCTGGCGAGC